TGCCCGCCTGCCCCTCCCGCCCAGTCCCAGCGAGCAGCAGCTGGTCACGGTCCGGAGGGGACGGTGCTTTGTCCCATGCACTAACAGCAGCCGTGGGCCCTGGCAGCTGGGGTGTCCCCTGCACTCACACTTCTCTCCCTACAGCAGGGAGAACTAGCTGGCCTGGGATCCCGGGGATGTTTGTCCCGGGAAAGGCTAGCCCGGGAATGTCTGTCCCAGCGATGTCTGTCTGGGGGACAGCTCGGCCCCAAGGCTGCTGCCAGGGCCTTGCGGGGAGCGCTGCTGCTCCCACAACCCCTCAGCTCAAGCTATGCTCCATCTCCACTCTCTGCAGAGGCTTTCCCCGGCTGTCTGGCCGCCCTGTGTGCAGCAGGCTGTGGTCTCTACTGGGGGCTGTGGCCCCTGCCCCGGCACAGCCCAGCGCTCCCTGCCCTCCCTCAGGGAACGACAGGCTCTCATGGGGGCACAGCACAGCCAGGCAGCGGGATGCCCGTGCCAGCCCACCCCATGGGGCAAAGCTCGCTGGCACCAGTGTCCACACAGGGCAGCACCCAGGGGCATGGGACACGGTCCCTGTCCACCCCAATGGCCTGTCCCTGGGGATCCGGGATAAGCATGGTCCCGGCAGGGCCGTGGCGTGGACAGGGTGGCGTGGGCATGCCATCGAGCAGGCAGTGCTGGCCCGCTACTCAGGCCCATGGTGGGCTCTGCACCCCGGCCAGGGTGTGGGGAGAGCTTGCAGCCCCCCGGCAGAAGCACATGCGGACCCCAGAGAACCGCCTGCTCGTCCAGCGGTTGCCATGGCAACGCATTATTAATGACAGCTGCTTATTTTGCCATGGCAACAGGGGGAAAGGGTCTCTCCTCGCAGCAGGCAGCTCTCCTGGGGCTGGGGCCGCCCCGCTGCTCCCCTCCCCATGCTGCCCTGCTCCACCAGCCCTGGCCCCAGTGCCCTGGGCCATCACCACCCCGCCGGCAGGGACCCCTGCGAGCCCCCCCACCCAGGAGAAGTGCTCCCCACACTCCCGGGACAGCTGCGCCCACGCTCCCATGCTCTGCCCGCTTGGCACTGCTGGACGGTACCCGCTCCCCAGCTCGTACCTGGCACCCAGGGGCTGGGGCTGCTGGCGAGCAGACACTCCGCAGCCATGGCCCCCCCCCCCCCC